TCCAATGTTTACAGATCATTTTAGAGTCATTAATTCGTAATTTTAACAACAATTTCATGATTTATGATTCTTGGTTCTTCAAACATGTTAAACACAAAACTCAACCAAACGACCGTTTATGAATTTAGAAACGATCTATACGAACATTCTAGTCACTAGATATATCTACGGGCTTACCTCCAAGCTTATCGAAGGTTTTGAGAATTTTCCGGCGAAACTTCCGGCGACGATAACTACCAACTCCGGCAACTTCGGTGGCAACCAACAATATCAGACTGCTCTCCTCACTCTTATGAACACAATGGTACTAAAATTGTAAGTTTTGGTGAAGAATGAGAATGTTGATGATACTCTTATATAGGGAAGGGAAGGAGAAGGAGACGCAGTTGTCGCTAAGTCATTGACGATTCACGCTAGGCTTAGTGCGCTGGGAGGCGCCGTTCGCACAGTGTCCTGATTGGGACCAATTTTGGTTCCAGTCGGGATACACTTTTTGGTCCAACTTTCTCCGAATTAAAATCCGTTTGCACCGTTGCGATCAGACAGTCGAACTCTATCCAACGATATAATTTTTATATTCATTCGTTATACTTTTTCTGACACCACATTTTTGGGTGTTTGACTTTAACAGAGTCAAAATTGGTTTAATTGACCTTTCTCATAAAAGGTTCTCTCATTTAATTCACATCAATTATTCTCATGATTTATTTCAACAAATCATTTCAATATTTACATTCTAGACAAATTCTTATTTATTGTTGATTTGGGTTTGTACTCAGGTTCACAATCAAGACCACACAAATAGTCCACATATTGGATTTATCTCTATGAGACTTATCCAGATTTTGATATTAGATTTCAAAACAAATTTCATATCGGCCCAAAGCCCAACAATAATTTATTTTAATCAAAAAAATTGTGATTAATTGATTATTTATTCATTAATAATTCTAGGGTATGTTTTGGGGCGTTACATTTCTCCCCCCTTAAAAGGAATTTCGTCCTCGAAATTCTTCTTAGGTTCAACGTTCAACGTTTTGTAATGATCTCACTGATCATGACCGTTTCATATTCATATGGTTATGTCGCCATCTTTCGGATACGTATTCTCAAGTCATTGATTTCACCAAACTCGTTCAATCTTCGAGAGATTAGCAATTTTCGATTAAGTAAGGTCTTCACTGATCCTTTGATGACAAAAGTTTCTTCATAGTGTGTAGTATTGCATACTTGACATACGTAACTTCGTTCAGTTACGAGTCTTATCTGTATGTCCTTGGTTAACAGAATCGATTGAAAATTTCTTCAATACTATTGAATGGTCTTTGATAAGCACAATTGCAGTTTGTTTCAATTCATACATCGTAATGTAGTCTTTTAATTACTCAAGGGGTCGTTGTCTTTAGGGCAATAGCCATTTAGACTTTTCATCTTGGATTTGAACGTATTTCAGGACAGCGAATCTAACCGTTCATGAGTCTCAATATGTCATATCGTAAGCAGACTGTAGTATTAGCGAGTACGTCATTATCAGTAGGAAATTTGAATCCATCCTTGCTGTACAAATTTCGACTGAGGATAACTACCATTTTTTTTTCAAAGGTCAGGTTTTCAGAGCCTATGTATATCACGATTGTGGCTAGAGTATCTCACATTCTCATATTATGGAAGGAACTTCTCGAACTTTTCCTTACACCATAAAATTCATTGGTCTACTTGGTAGTCATGCTCTTGGTAGAAATCCAAAGTTCATGGCTACGGCAGTAGATTTAGGAATGGAATTGGTAAGACGAAAAATTAGACTTACATATGGAGGAGGCAACGTTGGCCTTCAAGGAGCTATTGCTTCAACGGTCTATACTAATGGTGGTATAGCTAGAGGCTTCATACCAGGGTACATAGCAGCACGACAGGTCTACGGACCTACGTATGGTGCAGAATACACAGTTTCAAGCAATTACTATAAGCATTTCGAGATTAATCATGTAGTGGAGGCCTTCATCGTACTTCCTGGAGGGATTGATACTATGGAAGGTTTGTTCACTTTGATCTCATGGGAATCTGAAGGGTTGCACAGTAAACCCATTGGTCTCTTGAATATTGACGGTTATTTTAATAACCTAATCAAATTTCTAGATGACGCAGTGAGGCAGAACTTCATGGCTTCTAGTCAGTGAAAACTTTTCATCTCTTCTTTCTTTATTGATGAGCTTTTAGACAAGCTAGCGTTTGCTAAAGCTTTTCCGGGTCCTGGGGCTAGCTATAACGAGTTTGTAAATCCTGGGGCATTGGACTTAGACTTGCATTTGTAATATTAGTTTATGTAATTTCAGTTGAATTTATGTTGAAATAATATTGTCCATGAACATTACGAGTTAACCATAAATATTATTCTAAGCTTCATGGCCAGTGCAAGTCAGAAAAATATCTATTTTTAACATCAGAATGCATCATGTAAATATCAAACATTTTCTCAAGATGGGTCAAATGGAAGATTTCATTATACAATGGTTTCAACACATGTAGGTTCAAGAAAATATGAATATTCTTGAGATTCAAATCGAAAGATAATTTCTTGTTTACATAAGGTTTCTACATTATTCAATATATCCTCGAGCCCTTGTAGCACTTTAGGATCTTCACAGAGTATCATCCTTGGGTTGGACTCTTTGAATTGCTTCGTGTTTTAGAGCGTTGACTTGTTCCTGAGCGAACAGGTTGATTTTGGACAGAAGTAACTGAATATGATTCAGGGTTAGAGGGACATTCTCTTCGGAAATGTCCAGGTTCACCACAAATTAGACATAATCCTTGTGCAAGCCAGCAATCTCCCGGATGGTGTCTTTTACAAACATTACACTTTGGATGTTTCCATACCCTCATTTTGTTCATGGATGACGTCGATTGAATTGTCATTGATTTTCCCTTTTTCGAGTGAATGGCACAATCAATTTCTTGCAGGGGTCTCTTCCCATTTGAATTTGGTCGTTCATNTATTATTCTAAGCTGCATGGCCAGTGCAAGTCAGAAAAATATCTATTTTCAACATCAGAATGCATCATGTAAATATCAAACATTTTCTCAAGATGGGTCAAATGAAAGATTTCATTATACAATGGTTTCAACACACGTAGGTTCAAGAAAATATGAATATTCTTGAGATTCAAATCGAAAGATAATTTCTTGTTTACATAAGGTTTCTACATTATTCAATATATCCTCGAGCCCTTGTAGCACTTTAGGATCTTCACAGAGTATCATCCTTGGGTTGGACTCTTTGAATTGCTTCGTGTTTTAGAGCGTTGACTTGTTCCTGAGCGAACAGGTTGATTTTGGACAGAAGTAACTGAATATGATTCAGGGTTAGAGGGACATTCTCTTTGGAAATGTCCAGGTTCACCACAAATTAGACATAATCCTTGTGCAAGCCAGCAATCTCCCGGATGGTGTCTTTTACAAACATTACACTTTGGATGTTTCCATACCCTCATTTTGTTCATGGATGACGTCGATTGAATTGTCATTGATTTTTCCTTTTTCGAGTGAATGGCACAATCAATTTCTTGCAGGGGTCTCTTCCCATTTGAATTTGGTCGTTCATTTGGATTGACATTCTTATTCTTCAGACTTTCATAGTAATCACTTAGATCTTTTTCGGCTTTGGAGATTAGATCGTATGCCTCAATGAAATCCATAGTTTGAATAGTAGATACGTGCGGCCTGAGGCCAGGTCGAAGTCTTTTGCGAAACACCTCAATGTGGTCCGCCGCTGTACTCACCAGCGTGGGTGCAAATTGAGCGAGATGGACAAATCTTTGTCGGTATTCAGGGAGTGTCATATCTCCTTGCTTTAATTCGATAAATTCAGCATGTTTCTCTTCACGGAATCGAGCTGGTATATATTCCTTCTTGAACGCCCAATCGAAGAATTCCCAAGTCCAAGGTTTGGGTGTGTTTGGATTTTCGTCAGTACGTTTCCACCATTCGTAGGCTTCCTTGCGGAGCAATTGAGATGCAAATTTTGGATGATCAATGAGAGGTATGCTCAAATTTTGTAGTACACGAGCGGTCTGCTCGATCCATTCAAGAGCAATTTGGGGTTCAGCAATTCGATCTCCCAGAAACTCCTCAACACCATTATCTTTCAAGGTTTTGAAAGTGGTCAAACGAGGTTGTGGTGGAGGTGGTTGAAACATAGGGGCATTAGTCATTTGTTGTAAGAAGTTTACTTTAAGATAGGTAGCATAGCGTCAGGTTGATCTCCAATATTTTGATCATTTTGGGGAACATGTAGTGAGTTCACTTGTTCACTTTGAATAGGAGGTGTGACACTAGATACTTTAATATGAACATTTTCGTGCCCATCGCTTGGCGCTTGGTTACTTTGATCATGAGCAGTTTCTTGACTCATGCTACAATAATAGAAATTCCTTCGTTAGGATTCTTGACGAGTTGACAACGGATAATTATTCAGACTATATCGATGTTTAAGTCACTAATCGTGTCATAACAATGCGTCACTTCATTCAACAAGATTGAGCTATCCATAGCTTCTAGCAAGTAGGTTCCTTTGAATTTGACTGAACAGATTGTCAATACATAGTAAAGGGTAGCGATTCTTGATCGTTAGTTTGTCTGTCTTAACAGAGATGTGGTAGTATCCTTGACCGTAAGTCAATCTTAGAGAGCACAATGGATTCTCTAAGCTGATCAAATAAGTCATAGATACGAAATAAGGATAACGTCAATTTCCTTGTATGATATTTCAACAAAGTTTTGCAAGGAATTGTTGCTGAATGAACTATTTCGATTCGTATAATATAATCGCATATTTGCGTCGTAATGAGTTAGACATCAGAATGGGATACTTTTAGACAACAGAGTTTATTGATTCTAGACGTTCGTGTTTAAATCAGCAATCCGATCATCTTCAGTCCACATGAGGATCTTTGACAGCAGCTTTGCGAATGTTATTCAACATTAGGCGTTTCTTCATAGTCGTCTCACTTCTATGCGACTTTGCGAGATAGATCAGCTTCGTCAATCGCGATATGATAAGTACGTTGATAACGTATCACANNNNTTCGGACTAAAGTATTTAACTTGGTAATCGTAAAAATTTAAAACTTTTCAAACACACTTTATTAATCCCAATAATAGTTTTTTAATACATATACAATACGGAGTATTCAACAATATTGCGGAAGCGATTTTAATATTGACATATCATAAATTGTTTCAAAACTTGTCACATCCATCCCGACAATCTCGCCCCATCTGCCGCCAGGATCACATTCTGCTTTCTGCTTACCTGCGTGTAGCAAATAAAACACACTACACGCTCAGCGGTAAAGCTGAGTAAGCATATCTAATGCGTCTAACATCCATATAAACTGAATCTAAATTCATAATCAAATCATTTGATATCATGCACACAATGTTCATTTCAAACATTCATAGTTTTGGTATTGTTCAGTTCATATCAATACATTTTACACAATTCAGATACTATTTCAATAGTGCTCTTAAATTATTCTTAATCTAAGGCCAGATTATAACAATGCTCTTAGCTATTCTTAGTCTAAGGCCAGATCATAATAATGCTCTTAGCTATTCTTAGTCTAAGGCTAGATCATAATTTCTATAACCAGATTCTTAAAAGGCAATCATTAATCAGACACTTAAACTATCATTAGTTTAAGGCAATCGATTTTGGACACTTAACTGCAGTCAGTTAAGGCAATCAGACACTTAAACTTTCACTAGTTTAAGGCAAATGATTCGGACACTTAACTGTAGTCAGTTAAGGTAACAACAATATAGCATTTGATCAACATTCGATCGGGCATTCCCAAACGAGTGATCCTCTAGTTTGGTCTATGAATCCCATTTATGCGTTTTTATCTAATTCATCAAATGTTCATGTTTTCATAAGCCTGTTCTAATACAAGATCTATTCTAGAGGTATTCTAGATAGCCTTAACATCAATTAACTAATAGGTATATCTTAGAATTCTTCTAGATACCGTTTAACAATACAAATCGTTTAATAATTATCAATATATTCATTACTCTCATGGCTGAATCATCAATAATCATTTTGATCAGTTAGTTCATTATTCATGATCATCCATAATAATCATTCATCATAATCATTAATGAACATAACAATTGATAACAAATAGCGATCTAGTTTTGAGTGTTAACACTCTAACTTACCGTCATGCATTACATAATGTTTTATATGCCTAAAACATCATTTTTATTATACAAAATCATATTTGTATTGTTCATAATTAATTGTTATCAAAAATAGGATTTTAGAACATATTTTCAGGAATATTTTTGTAGCAGGATCTGGAATTGAGGAAAATAATTTAAAATGATCATTTAATTTATAAAAATTGATTTATATAATTTTAAATAATGCATTAATTCATAATAATCGATTTTTACAATTTAAATAATCAATTAATTCATAATAATCGATTTTTACAATATAAATAATCAATTAATTCATAATAATCAATTTTTTTAACATAAATAATCGATTAAATGATACTGACTTCGAACCACTGATCTGAATAAAATTCTAATCGATTTTTAGTAAGTAAATAATCGATTTTCGGCCACTGTTCATTATCTTCTTCCTCGGGTCAGTTTTAACATTATCATTTTTAATCACCAAACTTCAATTTAATTATATAAAAATGTTCTCCAATGTTCACAGATCATTTTAGAGTCATTAATTCGTAATTTTAACAACAATTTCATGGTTTATGATTCTTGGTTCTTCAAACATGTCATACACAAAACTCAACCAAACGACCGTTTATGAATGTAGAAACGATCTATACGAACATTCTAGTCACTAGATATATCTACGGGCTTACCTCCAAGCTTATCGAAGGTTTTGAGAATTTTCCGGCGAAACTTCCGGCGACGATAACTCCCAACTCCGGCAACTTCGGTGGCAACCAACAATATCAGACTGCTCTCCTCACTCTTATGAACACAATGGTACTAAAATTGTAAGTTTTGGTGAAGAATGAGAATGTTGATGATACTCTTATATAGGGAAGGGAAGGAGAAGGAGACGCAGTTGTTGCTGAGTCATTGACGATTGACGATAGGCTTTGTACGCTGGGAGGCGCCGTTCGCACAGTGTCCTGATTGGGACCAATTTTGGTTCCAGTCGGGATAAACTTTTTGGTCCAACTTTCTCCGAATTAAAATCCGTTTGCACCGTTGCGATCAGACAGTCGAACTCTATCCAACGATATAATTGTTATATTCATTCGTTATACTTTTTCTGACACCACATTTTTGGGTGTTTGACTTTAACAGAGTCAAAATTTGTTTAATTGACCTTTCTCATAAAAGGTTCTCTCATTTAATTC